ATTTTTTTCACTATGCTCTAAAATTGAGCATTTTGTTCTATTATTTAAAAGCAATTTTCTTTTTTTTAAATTTTTTTTCCATATGCTTTTGAGTTGAAAATTTTTTCTCCCTTTTTTCCCCCCCACCCTCCCCAACATGGCGCACAATCTGACATAGGTAAAAGCAATTTTCTAAGAGTCCATAAGCTTTACCAGACTGCCAAAGAGTTCCATGACACCCCTGAATTATGGCATCAAGGCTTAATTAATATGGAAGCAAGTGAATACAAAGGTAGAAAAATTGACTTAGAGCACAAAGATTTCAGCTCCTTGGATTTCAACTGCCTTGTCTCAATAGGCAATTGAAATCCAGCATAAGTGAAAATTTTAAGTACTCAGTTGAGTTCAAGTTACCAGTGACAAACAAGTTATGTGCTGGAATACCAAACTGGAAAATATTTGCTGAACTATTATTAGTGATCTTTAAATGAGCATGGAGAATAGGACAAGTGTCACTAGACTGGAGAAAGACAAATATGTCTGCATTTTCCAGAGAGGGAGGGAGGGAAAGAGGGAGGGGGAGTGGGAGGAGAGAGAGAGAGAAAGAGAGAGAGAGGTGGTGGGGGAGAGGCTACAAAGTACAGGCTGGTGAGTTTGACATTGATTCCTGGCAAAATTCTAGATCATCTTTTTTTCAATATTTTTATATTTTTATTTCAAATTTTGAGTTCCAAATTCTATCCTTCTCTTCTTCTTCCCTGAGACAGTGAGCAATCAGATGTATGTTATACATGTACAATTATGTAAAACATTTCCATATTATTCATTTTGTACAAAAAGACTCAAATAAAAGGAAAGAAATGAAAAAAAGAAAGTGAGAAACAGCATGCTTCAGTCTATTCAATCAATATCAGTTCTTTCTCTGGAAGCAGATAGTAGGTTTTATTATTAGTCCTTTGGGATTTTCTGGATCATTGTATTGCTAAAAATAGCTACGTCATTCACAATTCTTCGTTGAACAATATTATTGTTCCTGTGTATAATGTTCTCGTGGTTCTGTTCACTTCACTATGCATCAGTTCATGTAAGTCTTTCCAGGTTTTTCTGAAATCATCCTGCTTGTCATTTCTTATAACACAATAATATTCCATTACAATCATATGCCACAGCTTGTTTAGTCATTCCCCAATTGATGGGCATCCCTTTGATATAGAACATATTATTAAAGAAGTACTTTGTGAGCATTTAGAAGGGGAAGCAGTGATGACTAAGAGTGTGATTACAGCACGATAAGTAATGCTCCACTAAGCTCATTTTCTCTGTCCCACCCCCACCTCTGGCATTGCCAGACAGATGGATCAGGGGGATGCTGTAGGTACAGTGTGCTCAGATTTCAGCAAAGTATTGAATGAATTTCTCATACTAGTCTTATAGGCAAGATTAAGAGGATGAGGGTACAGTTAGCTGGATTTGGAACTTGTTGAAAGAGTGGACCCTAGGAGTAGTCAGTCATCAACATGTCCATGTCACCTGGAAGAGTGGTATCTAGCAGATCTCCCCAGAGATCTGTTCTTCACTCTGTAGTGTTTAAGAGTTTTATCCTTGGCTTATTTAAGTCATATGTGATAGAACTTAAGCCATTCCTTCCTTCCCCTTATCCTAGCCTTTGCATGGGATAAAGAGATAGCCTGAAGACATAAACATAACCAATGCAGAGCAGAAGGTTCCAGGGAAGGAGGAGTGAGTGCAGAGGTGGGGGGGGGGGGGAAGGTCTGGGACTACATAGGAGAGAACAGGCAGTTTACTGCCAGTAACATGCTAAGAGAGATAAATAGCTGTGCCAAGAGAGTGTGAGGTTGAAACCAGACTGAGGATACTGTCCCTTAATGTTCTGAGAGATGTAGACCAGTACAAGGGAGCTGCTGTTGATTGCAAGAACCCCAAAGACCCAGCTGAGGGAAGAGCTTGTTTTATGTTTAATGCCTTTGTTAGATTAAGTATTTGTATGAGAACTGAAGTGTTTGTATCAAAGCTGCATTGAAGCTTAGTGGCACAGTGGATAGAGTGCTGGGCTTGGAGTCAGGAAGATTCATCTTCCTGAGTTCAAATCCAGCCCCATATACTTACTAGCTGTGTGATCCTGAGCAAGTCACTTAACCTTATTTGCCTCAGTTTCCTCATCTGTAAAATGAGCTGGAGAAGAAAATGGCAAACCATGCCAGTATCTTTGACAAGAAAACCCCAAATGGGGTCACAAAGAATCAGACAGGACGGAGACTATGGAGGAGCAACAACAACAAAGTGGAGCTGAGGGCAATTTGAGAGGCATGAGCCAGTTTCCACTATTCCTAATGGAGACTGTGCTGGGCAGTATGAGCATAATGAGTATTAACCAAGGAGAGAGGCCCCCAAGATTAAGTATAGCCCATCCTAGAAGAGGTCTCTGACACATGGATTATACTTGACTGAAGACACAGGTGGCATGTGTATCCAATGTGTAGAAGACATGAAGCTAGAAGAAATTAACTAACATACAGAGAAAAAATAGGAATTGGCTAAAATTGTGAGCTGAGTCTACTGGGATGGAATTTAATAAGCAAAAATGTAAGTTCTACGTGAGTTTAAAAAAAGTTACCTTCACAAGTACAAAATCAGGGAGATGAGGCTAGACAAGAGTTGTTTGAAAATGATTGGGGAGTTTCATCAAACATCAAGCTCATCATGAATCAGTAGAGTGACGTGGCACCACAGAATAGAGCTGTAAAAACCCTGGATTGAACTGAAAGACAAAGTGTCCAGGATGAAGTATGAAGTAGCCTGGCTATGCTTTACTCTGCTAAGACCATTGAAATATTGTGTTCAGTACTGGGCTCCACCTTTTAGAAATAATGTGATAAGCCGGAATATGTCCAAAGAAGGGTAATGAGGTGTGACAGGGCAAGATGCTGTGCCATCAGATAACATACAGGGTGTCCCAAAAGTCTTAGTGCCATTTTGAGGGCATTTTGCAAACCACAAAGTTCTCTAGGCATGGAATCTGTTAGTTGGGAAAAACAACAACAAAGGAGTGTTAGCCTGAAATAAAGGGAGTAGGGGGTGGGGGAAGGCAGGGGATGTGAAGAGGAATGTGGTGATAAAATCCTTCAGGTATTCAACTATTTGAAGGAATATTGTGTGAAAAAAATAGGAAGTGGACTACTTGGATCTGGAGAGCAGAACTTGACAGGATGGATGAATGTTGCAGAAAAAGTCTGTTCAATACAAAGGAACAATTCCTAATAGGTACAGCGGTTCAAAAACCAAATGAGCTGCCTCAGTAAGCAGTGGGTTGTCTGTCTCTAGGGGTCTTCAGGCAGGATTAGCTGACCATCTGTTGAGAGTATTTTTTTTTGCCAGATTCCTGTAAAGAACGCAACTAGACTAAATGGCCAAAATCCTGAAGGTTTCTTGAGAGTAGAGTTAAGCGAAGAAGCTGATTCATTTCTATGCTTTTATGTATTTTTCTGCCTTATTTTGTCTCAGCCGGACTGAAATGAAAAAGGACTTTTCATATCACAGTTAGGATCAATAGAGGGCTCAGTATGTCCCTAAGGACTGCCACAAAGAGGTGGTAAATGTGAAACTAGACTGGCTCCCGGACATGGAGATGGGTGTAAGTAGAGGGTGGGAAGACAGAACTAGGAGCGCCTCGGACAACTATGGACCCCAGGCACTCTGCTTGCTGCCTGCAACACCAGGATCACAGACCTGAGCTGGAAGGGACCTTGGAAGACATCTAGCTCAAACTCCTCATTTTATACATGAAGACACTGAAATCCAGAGAAATGAAGTGTCACCGAAAGAGGAAACATCATGAAGGGGTTTGGCCCTGTGTTCCCAATGCCAGAATCAGCACTCTTTTCAATATTCCCCACTACCTCCAGTGAGATACAACATACAAGCACAATAGCAAGATGTGGCATTATAACTTGTTGCCACAATAGAACACATATACCAGACACGTTTACAGGGTCAGAGGAAGTTCTGTACAAGGCAAGGCAATAAGCATTGGTTAATTGTTTGCTATGTACTAGACAGGGCAGCTAGGTGGCATAGTGGATTCAACTTCCTGAGTTCAAACCCAGCCTCAGACACTTACTAGCTGTGTGACCCTGGGCAAGTCACTTAACCCAATTTGCCTCAATTTCCCTCATCTGTAAGATGAGCTGGATAAGGAAATGGCCACCAAAATGGTGCTGTTTAGAGGTTCAGGGGTGCTGAGACCCCAAAATCACAACATGCAGGTCCTGGCCAAAAGAATTCGACCCAAGTCTTCTTTCAGCCAAAGACAAGGTTTATTAGAACATCCATACTATTAGGCAGACTCTTAAGGAGTCTGAACATTAGTAAACTATTGGCTAGATTTTAAGAATCTGACCAGTGACTAGATTATAAGAATCCCAGCATCTTAATGGAGATGAGGTGGAATTTATATAAAGAAAGACTATGGCAGGGATCCAGGAGTGGCCAAGTAGTTTATAAGGTAATAGAACTCCAGGGGTGGCCAACGGAGAGTGGAGCCTAGATAGGATTAAGGGTGGGAAATAACCAGGCATCATAGGGAGTTAAGAGATGGATGGGAGATTGGGTGTAGCCACAATGAAAGGCCAGTTGATGGGATTTTAGCCTCAGGTGAACACCAGAGACTTGGCCACGTGGGAAAGTCCAGGGTTTTTCCTTTTTGGGATTTAGCTCCCATCCGCATCACTTCTAGTATGTTTGCCAAGAAAACTCCAAATAAGGTCATAAAGAGTCTTGACTAAAATGACTCAGTAGCAACAGCAGTGCACCAGGCACTGTGCTAAGCACCAGGGATACAAATACAAATAAAAAGAGCCAGTTCCTGCCCTCCAAGAACTTACCTTCTAATGGGAGGAGACAACATGTCAGATCAATCATTTATTAAGTGTTTTCTATGTGCCAGGCACAGTGCTAAGCACAAAAAGAGGAAAAAGATAGTCCCTGCTCTCAAGGAGCTCACAATCTAATACACACAAGTGGGAACTGAGAGGGAGGGAAGGAGAAGGTAACCTACACATGGGCATTGTGTTGAAGTCCAGGAAGTCAGAGTCAAGAGGAGAATGAAGGTTAGCTGGCCTGGGCCTCTCCCCAAAATGTAGGCCCCAGGAGTAATTTACCAAAGGGAGAAGGAGGCCAGAACGGCAGAGGGATGTTCCAGAGTAAGGAAGCAATGGGGAGAGATGGATGTTCCCAGATGAGAAGGCCCAGGTACTGAGGAAAGTTATCGGGTGAGACAGGAACTGATTCATGGTGTGTGATGACCAGGAAAAGTGTGATTCCAAGGCTTGTAGCAGCAGTTTATCTAGAAAAGATTTATGGGCATTAGTGGACTACGAACTCAATAGGAGTCAGCAGAGAGACACAATAGCTAACGCACTCTTTAGCTACAGCAATGCAGGAATAGTGTCCAGGACTAGAGAGGTGCCTACCTCACTGTGCTTTGTAATCTGCCTGGGTCAAATCACACCTCAAGCATTATGTTTGGTTCTGGAGGTGACATTTTAGCATGAACATTGACAAATTGGAGAAAGATTATAGGAAGGCAATTAGGATGACAAGGTACCTTGAGACCATGCCGTGCGAGAACTGGGTAAGTTCCTAGTTAAAGTTACCTTGAGAAGAAACAGCTTAGAAGAAATATAACAGATGTCTTCAAGATAAAGAGCTGTCATGCAAAAGTAGGATTAGGCTTGTTCTACTTGGTGCCAAAGAGACAGAAAGTTCCCTAACAATCCAGTTATGCAAAAGTAGAGTGAGCGGTCTCAGGAGCTAGTGAGTTCCCCCCAATGGAGCTCTTGAAGCAAGGACTAGGTGACTACTTTGGGACCATGTTGTATAGGAGATTCTTGTTCAGATATTGGTCAATGGTGGCACAGGCCCATAAGCCCTGCTACTAGAGAGGCTGAGGTGGATCAGCTGTTCATGGAAGTTTTAAGCTAGAGTACGGTTAAAGCCTACTAGATGTCTGTAATAAATCTGGTACCAATATAGTAAGTTCCTGGGACCAGGGGCCCATCAAGCTGCCTACAGAGGAACAAACTGACCTGGGTTCTGGAAGAACAAAGAAGGTTAAAGTTTCCATGCCAATCAGTATTGGGATTGTGCCCATGAGTGACTGATGCACTTCCAGCCTCAATGAGAAACTGAGACTCTCAACAAAAAAAAAAGTCCTGATATGGGTTGTTAGATTGCCTCTGAGATCACTTTCAACCCCAAGATTCTTCGAATCTGAGAGGAAGTAGGCACCCTAGACTGAAAGAAACTGATAAGATGATATGATAAGTGAATAATATTGTGTGGCCAAAAGAGCAAACAAGCAAAAAAAAAGATAATAATTCACATTTCTATAGCAATTGAAAGTTTACAAAAGACTTCTTCCACTGCATCTCTGTGATATAGATATCTCTCTTTTTCAGATGAAGAAGCTAAAGCACACAGAATTAAAATTACTTACCTAAAGTCATAAGAAGTGGCAGAATCCAAATTCAAACTTCAGTTGGGAGACCCAACTCCAAGACTATTGTTCTTTCCATTATATTTCAAACTACTCCAAGAGCCTAAAAAAAATAAAGTGAATATTAATGGTAGCTTAAGCCTTCCAAAGGCCCTAGGAATACATTAGTTATTAGAAAGGTAGTGTATAGCAGCAGCTTGCTATCTGAAGATGGAGGGCAAATTTCACAATCAAAAGCATTACTTTCTTTAAAAAAAAATGGGGGTAGCTAGGTAGTGCAGTGGATAGAGCACTGGCCCTGGAGTCAGGAGGACCTGAGTTCAAATCTGGTCTCAGACACATAACACTCACTAGCTGTGTGACTGTGAGCAAGTCACTTAACTTCAACTGCCTCGCAAAAAAAAAAATTGGTTTTATAACATAAGGACTAGAACCCTGGAAAGATGAACAGTGACTTTATTTAAGAAATATTTTATCTCCTCCCATGTTGCTAAACAAAAACTTTAAAAAAAAAAGGAAAGAGGGAAAGAAAGAGAGGTATATTGGCCTAGAAAACCTTTCCTTATGAAACACCAGTAAGATTGTAATACCATTTATTCTAATGAGTTTAAAAGCCAATGAACCTTTTATTTCTCCTTAAGTTTTCATATAGTGACTCAACATAGGAGGAGATAGAGTCTAACATCCATTCTCTTGACTGGTAATAATGATTTTCATAGTTACATAACACAGCCCACATGTGATACTATTAGCCTGCCAACCACTAATGCGATAATAAAATTCTGGAGAAGCATGGAAACCACACTTGATTGAGTGGCAGGCAGTCAAGCTTGTGGACTCATCTCTACACTCATTTCTACCACTGAACTTGGGCAAGTACTTCAATCCTCTGGCTCTGGGCTCAGTTTCCTCATCTGTAAAATGAAGAATTGGACTAGATGATCCCAAAGATTCCTTCTAGAACCAACACTCTTTGTCTTGGTGACAGTTGCTATTGAAAAAGTATGGCCTAATGGACAAGAGTGCTAGATTTAGAGTCAAGAAGACTTCATTTCAAAGTTAGCTTCTAACACTTACTGGATGTATGACCGTAAGCAAGTTGTTTAACTTCTTGAAGCTCCAGATTCCTCATCCAAAAAATTGGAGTAACATGATATAATGTATGTAAAGTGTTTTGCAAAACTTAAAGTGCTATATAAACATTATATTATTATTATTATTATTATATTATTATTATTATGAATAGTTTCCCTTGTGGGAAAATCCAAGTATTTCCCAACAAAGGGCATCTGAAATCAGTAAGATTAAAAAGATTTAGTGAGCAATTTCTGAATGAAAAATTGTTAAATGTGACTCCAGTAAATAGTTAAGAAAGCATAAAGTTTTCCCTAAGAAAGCAAAGAGGTTTTCCTTCACAAATACCCATGGTCACAAGTAAACATGTTTTCGTTGATAAGACATGAAAGTACAGGTATCCAGGAAACAATTGGAGATGCAAGACTAGAGTTAAGAAATTTGGGATCTGTCTGTATATGTATGTATATGTATGTATGTGTATGTAGGTATGTATGTGTGTGTATGTATGTATGTATGTATATACGTACATAAGTATGTGTGCATATATATGTATATTAGGGAGTCACCTGGATTGAGATTACAACTATAGAATGTAAGTTTCTTGAAGGCACAGTCTTTTATATATATATATACACATATATATATATATAGATAGATAGATAGATAGATAGATAGTGTGTGTGTGTGTGTGTGTATGTATGTATGTATGTATGTGTCCCCAGTATCACACAGAGCTTGATGACATAGTGGACATTTTAATAATGCTTGTTGATTGAGTGAATAAAGACACTGATGAGAACAGAACACGTAAAGAAAGAGCAGCCATGGAAAGAGAAAATGAGGGCTTTTTATTCTATCTGGAAAAATGTAGATAAAAAAATTTAGAATCAGAGTTCATAAAACAATAGCAAATAAAGAGAGGATAAACGTAGACTTATTGACAAAACATTTTGGCACATCAGAACTAGAAGGTCTCCTTCGAAACTCCAAAGAGGCAGTTTTAGGACAAATGAATGGAAGTAAGAGCAATGTGTCCTATGTGAGTGGATTGTCAGCTAATGGAACTTGTTCCAAGTGAAGGTACAGGCTGGAAATATGAATGTGTTCAAAACTTAGGGAAGGCAGATCCATACTGGGCTACAAAAATTTTTTTTTAATGTTTAGAGTATAAGAATAATAGCAGTTTAGGGTTGTAAGAAGAAAGAGAAGTCATCATTCTAAATACATCAATCCCCTCATACCTCATATTCACTTTGGATTTATTTTGTATACATATATGTGTGTGTGTGTATGTATATATGTATATGTGTATATATGTATATGTATATATATACACATGCATAGATAGACACACATATTCATATATACACATATAATGTGTACATACATACTTATATGTGTATGTATGTATAAATATGGACAATAGAATATGATCTCCTTAAGGCCAGAGATGATTTTTTTTTTGCCTTTTTATCCTAGAGATTAGAAGGACCCATAGGAGCTTATCAAATAAGGCAGTGACATGGTTAGAGCTATGCTTTAGAAACATTATTTTGACTGCTGAGTAGAAGATGGACTGGAATGGGGAAAGAGAGTTGAGGCAGGGAGACCAACCAGCAAGCTATTGCAATAGTTTAGGTATGAGACGATGAGGGCCTGCACCAGCATGGTGGCAGTGTCAGGAGAGAGAAATCCCTGCAAGAGATAATACAAAATAAGATTGACAGGACTTGACAACAAATTGGATGGAGGTTAAGGGGTAGAAAGTAAGGAGTCACGGGTGACAACTAGGGTTTGATCCTGGGTGACTGGGAGGATGACGATGCCCTTGGCAGTAATAGGGAATTTCTTTTGGGGGACACTTTGGGAGGAAAGATAATGAGTTCAGTTTTGGACTCCAGTTTTTGGAAAGATAATGAGTTCAGTTTTGGACTCCAATTTTTGTACTCTAGTTTCAGATGTTTGATAGGCAGCTGTAGATGTCACACAGCTACTAAGTGTCTCAGGCAGGATTCACACTCAAATCTTCCTGACCTGATAGAGTGTCCAGCACTCTATCTACTACGCTACATCAGTATATTCTCCTAACTTAAAAACAATAGTACAATGTTAGGAAGAGAGAAAGGCTTCCAGCTGAAAGCAAAGTAGTATAATGCTAGTCTATCTCAGCTATGGCCTCAAACCACAGGTTGGTATAACTCAAGAAAATAGAAATGGATGAGAAGGAGAAACAATAGAGAAAGCAATTTATCCCTTCCCCTGTAACTTCATCGATCAATTGTTGTTGTTTGTCCTTCATTCTCAAGAGGATGATAATATTGGAAAGGTGATGTCATGACTTGCAAGTGAATTAGATTTAAGTGAGACAGGGCTGTGCAAAGTCACCAGCCTCACTTTTCACTTTCTCCTCCAGAGCCATCTGGGTCCAGTGGCAAGATATAGATCGGGACAACTAGAGATGGCTATGGATGCAGTGGGAGACCTTGGCCTTTTTAAGCTAAGTTCTTTCCCAGGTCCCAGTTTGTCTGAGGCAACACCCATTCAGTGATTAAGGCTAGATAAGAAATGAGGTGAAGAATCTAGTCAAAAATATTCAGTCTGAGAGGGGAAGACCCTCTGGGTTTCTGGCCAAAACAGAAACAATTGCTATTTATACTCACTCTGAACCTTATGACAATTCAAACAATGACCAAATAACCAAGCCCAAACATTGACCTACTGTTGGCCAATCAATGAGAGCCAGAGTGATTTGGATTCAAGGCACAGTCCTTTAAAAAGAAACCTAGTTCATAAACCCCAAGGTATCTTGTGAGGTTTTGGTGTGATTGTGTATATCATAGCTATCAGTGTTCACTTCTTATGTGTTCTTCCATGGACCTGTAAGGTCCAAAAGGGACAGTGATCAGGTATTGTCTAAACTTCATATTTTCCCAGAGTACTTAACCCTGTATGCAGTTAATAAATGTTACTGAATAGAACTAAATTTCATCTCATAATTTGCTATTTGTCTATCCCTCCCATACTTCACCTGTATGTATATAAAGATGTAAAATTGTTTTTTGTTTTTAAATACATTAAAGCAACCTTTTGGGGCACCCAGTATTATCAGTTCCTATCTTACCCATTAGCTGGTGCGTCTAAATGCTGCTGAAGGGTGCCCTAACCAGTGCTCTCTCCCAACTGACTTTGCCCCAGTGCCTGATTTGCATAGTTGATTGACCTACCTGGTTGATCTAATCAAACTTATGCTCTAAGAGGATGGACCATCCCTAAAACAGATTGACTACTTAAGCCTATTTGCCCTGGAGTCTGGGGTTAGTACCACAAGGAAGTTTGAGTGATTGGTGCAGTCTGTAAATCAAAATCCCAAATATTCTTTTCCCCAAGATTTGCATTCCTGTGTCCTGCTAGGAAGGAGCTATTCTGGGAAGAGGAAAAACCTTCTGAATGTTCCCATCTCTTTGGTGTCCAGCAGGTACATAAACACTGCTACCCTGCCTGGTCAATAGTCATGTGCAAAGCATAATGAGTATTTTAGCAGCACATCAAACAATATTTAAACCTTTTCCAATATTGCACATTGGGCAGTCTTGCCCCTAAATTTACTTCCTTGACTTTAAACTCCATGGATTATTATTATTATCATTATTATCATTATCATTGTCATTATTATTATCATTAGTTTAAGAGAAATTTAAGCTATGTGTTTCTGAGAATTAACAGTTCACCAAATCTATTTTCTGAGACCTATTATAAGTCCAGAGAAATTAATGAATCTTTTTCAAATAAGGCTTTAAAAGTTTTTTGGAGGGGAAACGATTCTGGGAAGATGGCTGAGTAGGTCAGAAAACTTTCGGCTCTCCAAATTTCCTCCACAGAAAAAGACAAAACATTGCCTTTGAGGCAATGCAGAGCAGTGGAAAGAAACAAAAGTCTGGGTAAAGCAATTGTTCTCCAAAGACAACCTAAGAAGACCCCAAAAATGACCCGGCCTCAGGGCCTGAGTGAAGTGCAAACACCTCCAGACCAACTCTGAGGATTCAACAAATAGCGAGCCTTGGGCAGCCAGGGTTGAGAGGCAGCCTCAGCCTTAGAAACATTCATCTTACAGACAATGTAGGGCTCTGACAGCTGAGTAAGAGAAGACTGAAGGACCGTCCACTCTTGAGGGATGACAAGCACAGCTATGCTGACCAGACACAACCCGGGCTAGACTGCTGCTGTCAGGGAGGAGTTAGCACACACCTGGTGAGTTCAGTAGCAAGGGAGAGGGACTCTGCTGGCTGTGGGAACTTGCAGGAGAGCAGAGTGCCTGGTTTCAGTTCCAGGGAAGAGAGGACAGCTGTAGTTTGCAGCCACAGAGGGATGGAAGGGAGTAAGATCTTTTGCAGGATAGCATGACTGAGGGCTCTAGCATGGCTTAGGAGTGTAGAGGAGAGCCCAATGTTGAACCCTGAGACAGACCTCAGAAAATAACACCAAAAAGGACCTGAGGCTTGGGACATTGTTCTCTATACCTCAGGACTAGATCTTAATCACACTAATAGCTACTAAAAACAAAATTCAAAAAAAAAATGAGCAAGCAAAGAAGAAAGAACCCAACCATAGATAGTAACTATAGGGATAGAGAAGATCTGGGTTTGTATTCAGAGGAAGAAAATGAAGCTAAAAAAAAATCAATCCTTTTAAAATCAGAAATGTCAAATAATCCCAAGCACAAAAAAAAGCCCTTAGAAGAACTTAAAAAGGACTTTAAAATTAAATAAGAGAGATTGAGGAAAAATTAGAAGAAAAAAAGAGCAATGCAAGAAAATCAAGAAAATTATGAGAAGTCAACCAACTTGAAATAAAGATTCAAAAACTTAAGGAAGAAAATAATTTCTTGAAACCTAGAATTGGGCAAAGGGAAGCTAATGACATTCTAAGACACACAGAAATAATAAAGCAAAATTAAAAGAATGAAAAAAAAGAGAATGTGAAACATCTCATCAGAAAAACAACTGATCTGGAGAAAAGAGAGAGGAGAAAAAATATAAGAATAATTAAACTGCCTGAAAATTATTATTGAAAAAAAGAATCTTGATACAATATTACAAGAAATTATGAAGGAAAATTGCCTTGAAGTTCTAGAAGAACACAAAGCAGAAATAGAAAAATAATCCACTGATCACCACCTGAAAGAGATTCCAGGAGGAAAACATACAGGAATATCATAGCCAAATTTCAAAGCTCCCAGGTTAAGGAGAAAATATTGGAAGCAACAAGAAAAAAAAACAACTTAAATACATGGAGCTACAATGAGGATTACACAAGACCTAGAAACTATTACTTTGAACAGCTGTAGGTCTTGGAACATTATATTTCACAGAACAAAAGAGCTGGGTTTATGACCAGGGGTAACTTACCCAGCAAAGTTAAGTATAATCCTGAATGGGGAAAAAAAAATTGACATTGAATGAACTGAAAGACTTTCAAATATTTCTGACAAAAACAGCAGAACTTAAGGGAAAATTTGACATATAACATCCAAGAGGAATATAAAGTAAACATTATGGACCAATTAATTATAAGGGGCTCAATAAGGTCAAATTATTTGTTCCTTATATATGAAATTATCAGTTCTTTTATGACTGTCATTTTTGTTTGGGTAGTTTGAGAGAAAGGCTTGGGCTGAACTGAGGATAGTGGGGTAATTCTAAAAGAAACTGCAGGGAGAGATAAAAAGGAATAATTATCTCATACAAATGAGGCAGAAAAGGAAAAATTGATACAGAAGAAGCTAGTTGGGGGAGGGTGGTAATGCTGAAACCTTACTCTCATCAGGAATGGGTTAAAGAGGGAACAAGATATATATCTATAAGAGTATAAAAGTCTTCTAAATTCAAAAAGGAGCAAGAGGGCAAAGGGATAGGGTAGGGGGAGAGGATAAGGGAGGGATTCTTGGAGGTGTGGGCAGGTTAAGGAATAGAAGGGCAAGGTAGCAGATAGAAGTAAAGCAGAGGCATGAGAAGGGATAGAAATAGGGTGAGAAGGATAGTAAGGAAAAATAAGAAGGAGGAAAATGTACAATTAATTATAGCTTAGAATGTGAATGGGATGAATTTGCCCCCAAAATGGAACCTGATAGCAAATTAAAAATTAGAATTCAACAATATGTTGCTTTCAGGAAATGCTATAAAAATGAGAGATACACACAAACATAAAATAAAGGCCAGGAGTAGAATTTATTATGAAAAAAAATCAGGGGTAGTCATCATGATCTCAAAGTTAAAGCTAAAATGGATTTAATCAAAAGAAAAAAACAGGAAAACTATAATATGTATCATACATATTACTCAATATTTTTAGAACACTTAACATAACTAGACATTATAAAATAGCTGAGAGTATACCTGCCAAAACAGACATAGGAACTATACAAATATAAAACACTTTTTATACAAATAAAGTCAGACCTAAATAATTGAAGTAATATTTATTGTTCATGGATAGATGAAGTCAATATAATAAAAAAATAATAATTTTACCTAACTAATCTATGTAACACCATCCCAATTAAATCACTAAAAAAATGTACTAAATTACTAAAAATTATCTTACTGAGTTAGAAAAAATAATAACTAAGTTCATTTGGAATATCAAAAGGTCAGGAACTTCAAAGAAACCAGGGAGGAAAAAAAAGATGTAAAGGAAGCAGAGCCAATAGTAGCAGACCTAAAACCATATCATAACAACATAAGAGAGCATTATTGAAGTGTAAAATGGATAATTTTGATTATTTTAAATTAACATTTACTTGTACAAATAAAACCTATGCAGCCAAGAATAGAAGGAATGCAGAAAATTGAGAAAAATCTTTCATAGATAATCTCTCAGATAGGATGTGATTGGATTGGAATATTGCTGTAATACAGGAACTGATGAGCTGGTTGATTTAGAAAAACATGGAAAGACTTGGACTTATAAAGAAAGATGCCATCCACCTTCAGAGAAACAGATGACAAGTGAAAATAAGTATAGTATGGTCTTACATATACGTGTAGGAATATATATGTATATATATGGGTATGGTCACAGACATCTGTATATATGTATGTATATATATGTATATATATACAATTACATGAGTATATACAAATTATATATATATATAATAATATACATATATGTATATATACACACACTATTAAGTGCAGAGATAGATATCTACATGCAGATATCTATACACTTAGTTGTAGCCTTGTAGAGGGTGGGGATGGAGGGGAAAAAATAAAGTAAGAAGTGCACAAAAGAAAACCAACAAGGAAGCAAAGAAAAGCTGGGCAGCTTTGAAAACAATGTGTAGTATTTATTATGTAGGTTTTCTTAAAATGGAAATTTATTGCTTTATATTGAATCCTCTCGTGTTCTGCTGTGTACATGGCAATACTTTTTTTTCTTTTCTTATTTTGTATTTAAGTTTAAAAGAAATTTAAAAACTTAAAAAATAATTTTAAAAAATTAAAGTTTGGGGCTAGTATTCTTAAAATCTAGACACTGCTCAGATTTTTATAATCTAGCCAATAGCCCACAGATGCTGGGATTCCTTAAGAGTCTGGCTAATATGCTGTATCTTTAATAAACCTTGTTTTTGGCTGAAAAAAAAATTAAAGTTTTGGGTGTTTTCCCCCTTAGAAAGAAGATTTTACAAGTGTTAGGAATAGTGTACCAAGTACCAAACAAAAAAATTCAAACCCTGAAAGGTTAGAATTTGACTTAACACTGAGTCCCTCCAGATCTGAGCCAGGCCTGTAGTGATGGACATCAAAGTGGAGATAGGCTCATGCAGGCTTTTTGATAACTGTTCCATGCACAATAGAAGCAGGCTCCGTTTATGGCACCTTGAACTTCCACTTGAGTCCAGAACCAGCGGCCCAGAGCCTACACAGAGATGGAATGAGCCCAGCCCAGGCCCCAGCCAGAAAGCTGGATCCCACCTGCGTTGCTGATAATAGAACGTGGCTCGTCACCCTGGCACATAGTAAACACTTAACAAATACTTGTCTTGCTTGGTCTGTTCCAACCAAAGTTACAGTCAGATGAGGGCAATCCCTGCCCCCATAGTCAGGCACTTGGATACAGCCAGTCACCAAAGGGCTTTAAAGGCTGTGCAGGAGTTCCCAAACAAGCAAAGCAAAAAGAAAAGAGCAGGGAGGCTAATCGCACAAAAAACCTGCTTCTAATGCTGCTACCTTGGGCCCTGTATGTTGTCTTCGGGTGACCTCTGGTGGCCAGATTTCCCACACGCCTCCAAGTCCATGCCCTCCAGCTCAGACAGCTGACCATGGTACATTCTTTTACATTCCTGTCCTCTCCTTTTGTCATTCACTTCAAACAGGGAGCAAGATTCAGGTACAAACCCATGCAGGAAAGGGGTCTCTGTGCCTCGCTGGTCTTCCCACTTAACCAGAGCTGCCTGCTGCCCTCTCTTTCAGTGAACCGCTGATACCCTTCCTGTTGAAAAAGAAGGAAGCAAACATGAAGGAAAATGTGACATCAGCAACTGTCTTTCTTTTGCTTCTTTTTTTCCACACCAACCTCCTGAATGGTAAGAGCGAGCTCCTTCTTGCTTTATATTATTCCTGGGGCAGTGGAGGGGAAGGGGTGGGGGGATTTGAAATCTATCACAGATCTTTTGGAACTTATTTGTGGGAATTAAAATTATTTACCCTGTTTGCACGGCTGTTAGATCATCTGTGTGCTAGGCAATCAGAAGGAAATTGTGCAGCTGATATGTACTCATTTGCATATGTAAATCTGGAGTTGTACCCATGTATTCTAACCTCACATTGGTGGCAGAGTAGAAAGAGTCCTGGATTGGAAGTTGGGTGACTTAGGTTTCCAGCCTTGGTCTGCCATTCATTAGCTATGTGGTCTTGGACATGTCACTTAACTCCTTTGAGTTTTAGTTTCCACATCTGTAAAATGAGGCCAATAATACTCATCCTACGTACCCTACAAGGGTGTTATAAAGATAGTGCATGTTTAAGTCCTTTTAAACCACAAAGTATTAAACAAATATGAAGTACTATATTAACTGATGGAAAAGAAAGCAGACTGATGGGAGGAGAAAGAGCTATGGATTTGGAATCAAAGGATTTGAGATCTGGCTCCACTGTGCTACAACCATGGGATTCTAGATAATAGTTACTTCATCACTCTCAGCCTCAGTTTTTTTCATCTGTAAAATGGGCATGATGATACTTGAACTACCTAAATTGGCAGGATTATTGATGGCTCTAAAACTGTGAGCTGTGTCTCTGAGCCCATTCTCTGTGCTAACCTAGTATAGACACACCTGAGTTGGAAGGTGAGAGGGAGAAAGGCCGTTAGTTTCAAATGTCTTCAACATTAAGAAAAAAAAATTGGTTGGCTTTGAATTTTATAATTTCTGTTTTCTTGTGGAGGTGTTAGTGAGCAATGAAATACTTAAAAAAAAAAGCAGGCAGAAGAGGGAAGAAAGAAGAACCTGAATAATCCATAAAGTAGATATGTGTATTAGGGGGATTCTTCTCCCCTTCCTTTAGTTAATGTAATCACAGAAAGTAAGGGGCAGATAGCATAGGTATTAATGTGCTAATGATGTACCATTTTCTATTATCCCAATTCAAAGTCTGAAGGAGTACTCTGACTGACAGCAAGCCATTGGATGTAAAAATATTGGCCATGGGCCCAGAGATCTTTAAAAGCTAAGCCTACCAAGCTCTGGATACTAATAGTTTGAGTCATTGAGGAGGAAAACAAAACAGATACAGATACAGAAAGGCAGCCTTTAAGGCAGAAAGCAGCCACAGAGGGGAAAATATATTCAATTGTGAATTGAAAGGAAAATTAGCCCTGGTCATTGGTGGCTGCGCTTAAGGAGAGGAGTCCCAAGAAGCACAGCCCAGGGACCCATCCAGAAGAGAGGCCATACCCCGTGGGGAGTAACACGAGGGCTCCACAAGAAGAGAAAAGGCATTGGGGTCCTGCAGTACCCGAGGCATCAGCTGTTATGGCCACATGCCCCCTGTGCACATTTGCCTCACTACCACTGCACCCCTCCATGACTTCTCTGCAGCATCTGGCTCCATTAAACATACCCTGGACCCTCTCCTCAATCCTCAGCTCTGAATCAGAGATACCATCCATTCCTAAGGTTCTTATCACCTAACTTCTCTTTCTCTGGCTTCTTCTAGGTTCTCATCCTCACCCAGTTCTTTTCTCTTTATGGTGTTCTTCCCCAATGCTACATCCTTGGTCCTTTTGTAATTTTTCTCCTCTTCTTGCTTTTCTGTGTATGCTCACTTACTTGGCAGTCTTATCTTATCCTGCGGTTTTGACAAGATGACTCTAACATTTACATCTCTAGCCCTGACCTCTCTTGAATTCCAGACTTACATCTCTGACTGAAGTCTTTGCATAGCTGTGCTATCAGCACTTCAATTTTAATGTATCCTAAACCAAGCTTATAGTTTTTTCCTCAAAAACCCACTTCATCTTCTGACTTAACTAAATGTCTCTGCGGTACTACCATTCACCTAGCCTCCCATGTTAGAAACCTTAATGTTATCTTTGATTCTTACCTGTTCTTTCCCCTTCCTCTGTTTCTCGGGCATAAACACAATCCTGTTGCTAATACCATGCCATATTATTTGCTATCTTCTTCCTCTCTATTCCCACAAGCATGATGGGAATTTATAAGTATCATCACAAATATTAATGCGTTAATAGTTTTGTATTATTGGTGATATAATAATAATAGTAATGCTGTAACTGTATTAGTAGAAATGTAAGCCACACCTTTCCCCTTTCAAATCTGATTTATATAAAAACTAAGCATTATCCGCAATTACACTCTCACTCAATTCAATTCACAAAAATGTATTAGGGATCTATTATGTAAAAGTCAACCTACTATGAGGCATCATGATGGTGCGGAAGGGACTCGGGAATCTTGAAGGGTATGGTAGCAGAGAACAAAACTTAGCAGATCCAACAGGATGGCAAGACTTTAGTCATGTTGTATCTGGAGTATTGTGTTGAGTTCAGAGTACCACGTTTTGGGAAGTGTAGTGATGAGAGCTGAAATGTGTCCAAAAGATGTCAGCCAGGGTGGCAAAGGACCTCAAGATCATGCCAAATGAGGGTCAGAGGCAGGGACTAAAGACATTTTGTTATAAATACTAGCTACATTTCCCTATCAAATCTTTTAAAGGCAAATATTCTCTTCAGAATATTTTTAACAATGGACAACAGGACACTTAGTGTGTCTAAACCCCAGTGTATAAAGAGATATTGTTCAAGACTGAGAAAGAGATATTTAATAAGGACTGGCAGACACATGGATTTTTCAGGGACATTTCTAGCTTAGAATAAACATACAAATCCATCAACATTTCTTCTCTAGATAGAGAATATAATTCCTAAGAGTAACCTTAAAGGTACTAGATATTCAATGATTCCTGAAAATAGTAAGGAATTGGATCAACACCTTTAGGCCAAGTGAGTGTACTTTGACACAGTCAGGTGGGCTTCCCTTGGAGAAGATGGATGAGACCGAGATAGTGAAAAGAACTGTGTCTGGGTTCTCCTCTGCCCATCCTAGGAGATCTGCTGCCAACTATCATTCCACCTGCCAAGAAAGGGGCCAAGAACAAAAGGGCAAAGTCATAGAAACAGAAAGAGGAGAGGCTCCGCAGAAGATCTCAGCCTAGTTAATTTGCACCCTGTCTCCTCACCCACTTCCAATTACTTTCAGTCTAATCCAGTAATGGTCAGATTCATGGTCAAGTTCCTTCTTGTCAGAAGCTTTATTTTCTCCTCAGCTGCCTAGAGGACTGGTAACATTAAAACTTCCTTTTCAAGGGATGAGATCATATTTGAGATAAGAGAGAAAAAGGTGTCCTTGTAACAACAAAAAGCTGTCTCCTCAGCCTTTCATAAAGCCCATTGGCCCCACTTTCTTAAGACCTGTTGTTCTGTCTGGAGATGAGCAGATGGGGTTAGGTATTGTTCCCCATCCCTGTTCTAGACAATTAGAAGGTGTCAGCTGAGAATTCTAGCAATAGTCTGTTACCAGGCCCATCTCAGAATCACAGTCACATGATTTCATGGTTTGAAGTATCTTCCAAGCTCATATCTAGTCCAGCCTGTAACTACCTTACTGAGAACCCTCCCTTCTCCAGAGTCAGTGCTCTTGAGAAAATGGCAGCCTAATAAGAGACAAATATACAGAAATAACTATGACAACAAGGAGGAGTATGGTAAAAGATAAGTAATGTACAAGCAATGTGCTATAATAATTGGAGGAGTGACTCCTCACCCTCCCTTATCCCAACACATCTGTTGCCAAAATCTTGCTGCTTCTGCCTTCTTGCACTGATCTCCATCTCTCCAAACACCACTACAGTACCCTAGGTATTCTAATTCAAGTCCTTATAATGTCTCTCTTGGACTAATGCAATAACCTGTCCATGCCTCTGGTCTTCTCCATTCCAATTCATTCTCCATTCAGTTGCCAAAATTACGAAGTGCCTTTAAGCACAAATCTGACCATCTTGTTCCCCTATTCAATAAAATCCAGTGGCTCCCTATCACCTCCTATGATGCATCCATCAAACACTCAGCCAGCAATTTATTAAGCACCTGCTATGTGCTAAGCACTGGATATACAAGTACAAAGAATGAAATAATCCTTAATTCTCCACAAATTTGGGATAAAGCATAAATGCTTCTGGCTTTCTAAAGTCCTTCACAACCTGTCCCCAATCTACTTTTCCAGCTTTTATATATATATATATATATATATATATATATATATATATATGTGTAAAACTTCTCTTTCTGTACTATACAGTCCAGCCAAATTGGGCACCTTGCTGTCCTTATCCATGTGTCTTTGCCACATCTTTGCGCCTTTTAGAACCACCAGATTCCTACAAGGTTTATCTTAAGTACCATCATACATGAAGCCTTTCCTGAATCTTGATGTATCCACCCCCCATTCTCAAAAAATTATCTCCTATCTATTTTTGGGCATTGACCGGTTGATTTTTACCCCAGCTCAGTTGACACAACCATTGAAGACTGGGTACTAATGTGTTAACAAGGTATTAATGTCCTATTATCTCTTTACTGAGTGTGAATTCTTTTCCCTGCTTGAATAAGAAGGTACAAGACCTTTGGTTCTTGGTCTTGTGAAAATTGCTTTCCTCGCCCCTTCCCCCAGGCCTTTAAATAGTTTATACTTGGAGTCAATTCAAGATAGTCCTGGCTAGAAACAGCATTGTAGAGGAGAGACATACA